TTACAACTTCGTCCCGCATGACATTTCATATGCGCCCAAAGTTTCAACAAATCACCTCAAGAAGATCTTGTATAAAGCTCTACACTGTTTAAGCAGCAAAATAAGTACGGCTGATATAAGCATTGAGTGAAAAATTCTTTAACTGCGCACATCGTTAAATGAAAAAGTCATAAACTACCTCAGGTAATCTACAACTCGATATATAAACTAAATTAATGGGTGAAAATAATTAGGACACTACGTACTCTTCTAAAATACAAGTTGCTCCTTGAAAGGTCAATCAAGCTGAAGGATAAAATTTTCACCTCAGCACAGCTACTGCAATAAATCAGGAGCAAAATTTTGGAAACGCTCAAGCACAGAGGATGCATGTTCAGCGCCTAACCAATTAAAAATAAATTGGGCGATGCATTCATAACCGACCTGATGGAGAACATCTGCACCGGTAGGAATTCGACCCCGGAGACAGACTTCAAAAAGTCTTGTGCCCATGTCGTTTTGGATATCATTGCAGGTTTCTCGCAACTGTTTAACGATTGCTTGGGCTCTGAATGAGTCTACGTTAAAACTATTGGTCGCAGCGGGGAAAATGAGGAAGGCAACAACTGTGACGTCACTCCCTTGTTCCTATTTGTTGTAGAAAATACGATTTGGAGTTACATGCTACAGTAAGAAATAAGGAAATAATGCACTCAATAGTATATTGCAACATTCACATTGTATCAGGATACTATCTCATAAACGCGGGATCAACTAACCCTACAAAACGAGCAGACCCAAACACAGTTGACTTGAATAGGTTCCATGATACCATTGTTTTCATGATTCCCGTCATCTGGACACTTTTTTCAGATGCATTTCTTGCAAACGTGCTTTACTAGGATTCGTTAGCACGCATAAACCTCCTACCAATCTGCGGCCGGGAGGTGATGAACGTGCAATGCACGGAAGCACGTACACAGGCCAGCCACACATGCAACAATGCATGTGACATAAGAGAGGATTGTGATGGTGGGTAATTTACAAAAATCTCATTCAAAATGCTCATTTAATGAATGGTAATCACAAGATGGATTACAATGCACATACGCACTATGGTCCACAGTAAGTAGCAAACTTAAAAAAATGTGTTGACTTCATTTACCTGTAGACGGTGATTTAAGCGAGCAAGAGCTTCGATAAATATATCAGCACCTTTGTTTTGAAATTCATATCTACCAGCAATGAAGAAGTATAATGTCTTGTCCAAATCAAAGTCGTAGTGTCTAAAAAACATTAAGAAAATAAAACCCAAAAAAACTCTTAGAACGTAGGTTTGAAATAATTTGTGCTAGAAGACGGTGAGTGAAAGATAGACAATTACGTATAGATGAACCCTATGGATACCATTTCGAATGCACTGTGAACAATGGCATGAGACGATTAGGTGGCTTTATCTACAAGCACGAATTCAAGAATTGAAAGTATTTAGACGCAAAAGAATAGCTCAACAAGGATTAGGATTGCTAATCTAAAAGAGTAGTGATTTGACCCAATGTAATGTAATCGTTAAATCACCATCGAAAGTTCGCATGCAAAACATTCAGTGCAATTCAACGAGAGAGACATTGCCAAGGTCGATAAAAAAGACCAACCAAAGTAAAGAGGGAACTGTTAAAAGGAAACAAAATAGTTTCACAACATTGGAACTGACCCATAAAAATGGCCCTGAATAAACTGATGCAATTTCTGCTTCGCGAGAGCGTGTCGATTTTGAAATTCATGGAGAGCCGCAAACTTAATGACGTTAATGCCATTTGGCGTAATTATGTCGGGCTCGCGTTGAAGGAGATATTTGCTCTCCAGGCCGGTAATCTTACTTACTGTTGTGAAAGCATGGGCGCAGTGGACAGCAGCCCTTTCCAAGCAATAGCGGTGATAGATATTGCGGTCTCCGGCTTCCTGAAATGCGAAAGTAGCTTCTATAGTAAATGCTCCCACGAAAATAGTGAAACACAAACAGTTAGCAATTAAGGTCGGTATTAAAAATTCCATTTCAATCTAATGTTGAATATTGGCTTATCATATCTTGAGAAACAGATACGAAAAAGCATACCTTGTCAAGGTCAAATTTGTCCAGATTATTGTATAAATCAACTGAAGCAGCACACAAATATCGTCCGAGGAGTGTTGCATGTGTCGTAAAGATAGTGGCTACGTTAAGGTGGCGCGTGCGAGTGAAGATCAGTCCGCAACCAGCAAGCCACTCATGGAAGTGGGCCAAAATAGGAAGTTTTGTGCCCTCTGTTTCGGCATCCAACTCATCTCTGAACTAAAAATAATAATAACCGATATTCACGGAAACTTTAAAATGGCTAAGAGTAAGAGAAGGCTTTGAGTTTCTTACTTCTTTCAAGAACCAAGCGACAAGTGCACCGAAAATAAGTGCATCATTGCACTCACTGTCATGGACAGGGATTCCAATGTTGCAATTATCCCAAAGTTCCTTTTTCCAGGAATCTATGCGCCACGCCGATGAACCGATATCGAATAGAAGGACATATGGATAACCTTCGATAAGCCACCGACCGAAAACCATCTAGAGGTAATAGATCCCAAGGCTATAAGTTACATTAATGTCATGTTCACGTAGTTTTTGGAGGGCACGCTTGAGGGGTTCCGTGGCTGGCTCTACGATATCGACTTCTGTGCGCATGCAGACTTCATTGAGGGGACCGATGAGAACATATCTGTCACCAAGTTCCTCCACACTCGTTGCGGCTTTGGTTCTAATCACGGTGTAAATGCCCCCAACTAAAATTTGATAAGACGAAGCGATCTTATATTTTTGCGTGTGCGGTAAGTTTGAATGATAAATATAAGGAAAAATAGGTGTGATGTACCTTTGTTGACTACTTCCCAAGCGACCTCGAAAACGTACTTTTGCTTATAGACATCTTCATCAATTGACTTATCTAGACCCAAAACATCTGCACTCGCGGACACATCCTTGATAAATCGACCGACACTCACCCTCCGCTGCATGTTCAGGTACTATTTGCTTACCCGCTCCGCTGGGTTATTATACGCACTGTACATGTCATTTGACCAAGTTAAACAAAGTAGCAATGGCAATTGTTTTAACAGTGACGCATTTATGTACAAAAACTTAAACCACCCCCTATGGGCATGCGATATTTAGGTCGCTTGAAACCTTGGGGGCTGTAATTATGTTTGCGCAAAGCTCCGTTGTTTAATTTAGAGGACATCCTTTTAACACAAATTGGCGTCAATAGCAATGCTAACCCTCAATAAATAAGGAGAGTTTGACACTAGGCTTCGTTATCGTACAGGTAGTATCCCCCTCTAATCTTTTTACCTATGCCCCCATCTAATACACAGAAATTGACTGGTTTGAAATGTCTTGTTGGCGTAGAGGCAAGAATGAAATGGGGTACCAGAAGGCAGTCTCTACAATTTCCCCACCTGCATCAAAAGAACCCATTTCCCCCCCTAGAACGCGAACTCGATTTTCGCCCCCTACTCACCCAAATCTTCGCCTCGAAAGAGTATATATACTGCATTTAGCCTATTGACTACCCAGGTGTTTCAGGTGAAGGGCAGAAATATAGCATCCCAAAGTAATTGCAAGCGTGTTGGTCAATACTGTCAGTATGTTAGCATAATGGCCTAACGTTAGCCTCAAACGTGGTTACGCTGGTGTCTAGCACAATGCCAGTAACATGAACTGGTACGCTTTACTGACTTCACATTCCCTGAAGAAACACTACCTCGAGTCGTTACTTACAGTGATGTGATTGGCTCTTTCCTCAGTCCATTTTGTCGCTGGTAGGTCAGCTGGCCGGGTCACAAAAATGACCAGCGATGCTAGTTCGTTCCTACAAGCTGGAAGAAAGCTGTCGTAGGTTAACTTTTGCATTTATCATTTTGAAGTGCATCCGGGTTGACTTTATACCACATCCTCGGTGTACCAAAAGGGGCCGATGAGGACGATATTAAGAGAGCCTACCGGAAGGTAAACAACAATGGTAGTAACTCTGTCAATCATCTTACCAAAGCACTTCTGTCAAGTTCTGCTATCAAGTGAT